GTTTAAATCCATCGTAAAACGTCGTTATGGTTTTTTATAATAAGGTTCGAAAGTTACTACTTTGCTTTATCCCCGTTGGAATACCTTTTTTCGGCTTTATCTTTGCACTATTTACGGCCCGTAACTATTAAGCTTTTTTAATTGCTAATAAAAACTTCCATTAAAAATCGTTATTTTTTTAATTAATTTTTGGATTATGCTTTCGTAATTACGGAATCCCAAAAACCATATCCTCGTTCCGTATTTCCAACGCGTTTAGCATTACTTAAAAGGTTTTGCTTTGGTATTAAAAGCTAAAATAATCGGTTTTAATATCGATCTATCCATTGTTATATTTAATTGGCCTTTTTTTTATTGTTATAAAAAAGTATAGCTTGTTCTTTTTGCGTATAAAAATACCGTATTGTAACATTGCTTGTAACGATACGTAACTACTTTAAGCTCCGCAATTAATTAAGGTTTTTAAGCAATAAAGGCTTTATCGCACCCGTATATGGAAATATTGCTCGTTTGGGCTAATCGTTGCTGCTAAAATCTTTATTGTAAATAATTATCCTTTTTATAGCCTTAATACAAATAAATTCCTTAATTTTTTGTTTCGAAATGCTTTATTTAAAGCTTGGATAAGCTTATTTCCTATTCTTTGCGTACCCTTACGTACCCTAAATCGTTGGGGTTGCTAAAAAATTTATACAAGCTTTCCACGTCTTTGTTATACCGTATTGGTATATATAAAAGCTTGTATCTTATTTGCTATGCTTCGGCTTTTTGCATAATATAAATTTGGTATTTTAATTTTTTGCATTTTTGCCATTCCAAAATTTTAGCAACGCAAAGCATGGGCTATTAAAAGTTGGATTAAAACATTGCCAATTTTCCGTACTTTTTGGTAATAAACCATTTAAATAATTGCTATGCCATTTTAAATTTGGTAATGGGCTCGTTGGTTTATTAATAAAAAAAAAATTATTTCAAAGCTTTTAAACTAAATGTATTGCATAATCCGTAACGAATCATTTTCCCCAAAATAACCATAAATGCTTTTGGTAATTGGGCATAAAGCTATTGTAATTTTTTTTTAATGCTATTTTGCAGCTTTTCGGCCCATTTTTAGCTATATGCTTGCAACCGGGTGTACTTTCGGTACGTAATTGGATGGTTGCTATCAAGCTAATTAATAAAGCGTTTAAAATCGTTTTTAGCTAATATGGCTTCGTAAAAAGTACCATCCTTATTTAGCAAATTAACGTTCCAAAAGCATTATTAAATTTCGGCTTTGCTTTAAGCTTTTTTGCTTTTTTGGAACTATTCGATTACGGCTTTTAAACGTACCGGGTGCAAACCTTTTTCCTGCTTTTGCATAGCAAACCCGCCCTAACGGAACGTTTTGTAGCTAGCTTGGTCCAACATTGCTGCGCATGCGTACGTTAAACCGTTAGTTTTAACCGCAATAAGTTAATCGCGGTTTGGCTCGTTCTTTTTTTTGGCTAACGCTTAATTTATATTTAAAAGTCCTATAAGTTAATGCTTTAATTGCATTCCAACTTGTACCTTTGTTAATACCGTTTTTGGTACGCCGCCCGTATGTATTTTTGCAAAACGCGGGCGTTTTTGGCGTACCGGCAAAAGCTGCTTAAACTTTTTTTATTGCTTTTTTTTCCGGATTTGCTGCTTTCGAACGTTATTTATCCGTAAAAACTTTTGCTTGCTATTTAAGCTTTAACTGGTTTAAGGATAGCAAAGTTCGGGTTTTAAAAAATTTTTACAATATTTTTTATAATTAGCTTATTTTTTTCCTCGTTGCTTTTTAATTCGAAATCGAGAAATAAATTAAGTTTGGCCCAAAATTTTAAATTAAGCCTTTATTAAATTGTTTCGTTTTTAAAGTTTTGGTTTTTAACAAAAGCATTTAACATTTTTTTTTATTCGGCAATACGCAAAAGCTACTTTTAAAATATTTCGTTTCGTAATTTAAAATTTTTTCGAAAGTTTTTATTAATCCAAACCTGGTTATTTTTATTATCGGAATTGGTTAAATTGTTGTTGCAAATTATTATAAGGTTTCCCCGTTTGGTTATGGCCAATTGCTTGCAAAAAAACCACTTTATTGCATTTTTATCGGAATAATGGGCAACGCAACGGTTATTAATGCATACGGTCCAAAAAAACGCCGGGCTAAAACAACCGTTATCCTTTGGTTTTATCGCTACCTTCTTGGTTACCGCTGCTATTTTGGGTTTATTGCCCCAAAATACTTTTTTTTGCTTTTTTTTTTAAAAGCAATCTTTTTTAATGTACCCAGGTTATTTATATTAAAAGCACTTGCCATCCTTAAAGTTTTGGAATTTGCGCTTTTTTTGCTTTTAATGCGTAGCGCCGGCGTTAAAATCCATAAAGCTAAAGTAACAACCATAAGCTATAAATTTGTTGCGGTTAACCTATCGTTGCGGTTAGTTGCTTTATACCATAAGCTTAATTTTTTGGCCTTTTTTTTTTAAACGGCGCTTATATAGCCTATCGCTGGTTTTAACCACAATAATAACGTATTCGGCAAAAAAATCGGGTTGGTTAACCTTTAAAACTTTATTTTTTACGTTATTTCGAAGCCCATTGTACAAATGGGCCATCCTGGTTTGGTTGGTCCAATTAAATTTGTTAGCAAAGCGTTAAAAATTGGAAACGTACCCTAACGCCGCGCTTTTTTATCGAAATTAAAATATTTTTTTTTTAGCAATTTGCTATTTATTAACCTAGCTAAATACGTTAATAACCTTTTTTTCGAATCGGGTAAAACTAACAAAAGTAATTTTGGTTTTTTCTTTGCTTTCGTTGTAACTTTTAAAAAAATTTGCCCATACGGGCTCGAACCATTTTTTTATTTTGCTTTTAAAGCAAATAATTACGTAAGCAACCTTTTATTTTTTAATCGTAAATTAAATTTAATAAAAAGCGAAATACTTTTAATATTCGATTAAAAAAGCTTTAAAAGTGCTTTTTTTACCGTTGTACCAATTGGGGGTAAAAAATTTGTAAATTCGAACCGCCGTTTGCGGAACGCTAGCTTATTGCTTAAATTAAATAAGGTTTGCGGTTATAACCATAAACGCGGCTTTAACCTTCGTTACTTTTGTTATATCGTAAATTCTGCTTGCGTAACTAAAATGCTCGTCGTTTTTTTTTGTAAAGGATTCGCCGCTTTTAATTGCCATTGCTATTGCTCGGTACCGGTCCGGGTGCTAAACAAAATTAATTAAAATGTTACAATTAAGCCTTTGCTCCTAAGGTAAAGCACTAAAAAAGTATCGAACAATAGCACGTAATTTAATAAATTAAAGGGATTTACAAAGTAATTTGGGTGTAAATTTAAATGCTTGCTTTAAAGGTTATTTGGAAGCTAACTAAAGTTTAACTAATGCCGAAGCCCCAATTAAAAACTACCTAGGACAGTAAAAAACCCTCCTTTTTTATAGCCCGTCCTTTATGCTATTTTTATCCTTCCCAAAGTAGTAATTTGTAATTTTGTCGATAGGTTACAAATTATTTAAGTAATTTGTAACCCTATCAACAAATTACGGGCGGCTTACCTAAGCTTCTTTGTGGTAAGGGGTAAGCGCTTGCTTACCCTTCGCCTTTCTGGCCTCCCGTGCCGGCCGGGTGGTTGTAACATCCGGCAAGCTTATTGCAAACGTTTAAAAAAAAACCCGGCAAAAAACCAAAAGATAAAAAACCAAAAATCGAAACGGAAAAAAAAACCGTTTTAAAGTAAAAGCTTTGCTAAAATACAAAAAGCCTTTGCAAAAGCAAAAATACTTTGTTAAATGGATAAATTATAACGAATTGGAAAATTCGTAAGTTTTTAAAAAGAATATTACGAAAAAAATTGTTTAAACGTATAAAGCAAATTTATTAAAAGCAAATTTATAAAATAAGGAAAATACCGAACTTTAACGGGTAAATACCCGGAAAAAACGGAAGTATTACAGGAAAAAAATAATAAAAGCCAAAAAATGGCCCAAAAAAATGGTTTAAACGTGCTAAACCGGTTGGCTACCGGGAAAAAACGTAAAAAAACCCGTAAGCGGTTTGTAATAGCCGTAAAATATCGTGCTTTATAAATAAAAAATTAAATAAAAACGGTATAGTATAAAAAACGCTTTAAATTAATGGTGCGATATATTTAAATCCCAAAAAATATGCAAAATGTAATACATTTTAAAAAGCTTGTAAAAAGCATGCTTAGCGCAATATGCCAAAGTAATTACTGCATTTTAAACGTACGTTATGGTAAAATACTATTGTTTGCCTAAAAAGGAAATGGGAAAATTTCCGGATGGCATAACGAACGGGCTTAAACGTTTGGGTAGCGGCAAATGCATATCGGCGATATTCGAACCAATTAAAAAACGAAAAAAAGCATTTGGAAATTATTTATTAAAGCATTAAAATTTAATTAATAATTAAAAATATTGGAATTTTGCAATATTACAAAAGCAATATAATAAAAAAAAATTATGGTTTTAATTATAACAAATTAACAAAAAAATTAAAATTAATTACTTTTTAAAAAAGGAATATTAATAATTAATTAAAAAAATATATAAAAAAAAATAATTAAATGCCGTATTTAAAAAAACCAAAATTTCCGGAAATTACGTTTTTTTCGTTAGCGTTAAAATCGTTGCCGTTAAAGTTGTTAGCGCCGAAAGCGGCACTTTCCGGCGTTAATACGAACGCCGCATTTTTACGGGAAACCGCGCGGTTATAAGCTTAAGTATCCAAATGCGCCGCAATTGTAATAAAGCTAGCGGCAATGCTATTAAAAAAAACAATTACACCTTTTTCGAAACGTTTAAAAAAAACAACCATACTTTTTTTAAAACGGTTAAAAAACGCCGTTATTTTATTAAAAAATTATTAATGCTAGCTAAAATTTAAATTTATTTTTTCGTTTAAACGGCAATAGCGTAAAGCTATTGGAAAATGTTTTAAATAGCTTTTAATATTGTAACGTTGGCAATTTTGCGCTGGATGCGCTTTTAAATAACGGTTTAACGTTTGTAACGCGCAAATTGCTCGGCCGATATGGTATAAAAGGATTTAACTTTTTAAATGGCTTTGCGGGCGCGAAATTAAATTTTAATAAGCTTTTTAAAAAGTTCCGGTATTGCTTTAAAATACCGCTTGTAAACGGTATTTAAAATTTTGTAAAGGTTTTGGGCTATTTTCCAAAATTATTTAAAAAATTTAACGCAAGTTTTATTGCTAACCACGTTTTTGCAATAAATGCATTTGGAAAACCCCGTACAATTAATGGAGCATATCGGCATACGGGGGTTAACGGCATAATTTTAATTTGCTTAATAATTAAAATAACGGTTACAAAATACCGTACGTTCCGTATAATTATTTTTAAAAAAAAGCAAATAAATAAAAATTTAATTATTGCTTTATTAAAAATTAATAACCTTTTGCAACGGGAACGCGTTGCGAATATTTATATAAAACGAAAAAAAGGCAATATCCGTTTCGGGGGCAAATTTATTAAAATCGAAAGCGTTGCGGCGGCGTTTGTTGCGCATTTTACGCTTTTTTTCAGCGGCGGTTTTTTTGCCGCGGCGGTTAAAGCCCGCCGAAAGGTTACCGGCAAAACGTTTGCGGGAATTTTAAAAGGTTGCAAGCGCAAAAAGGCCCGATAAACCTAAAACATTTAAAAAGCTTACCGGAAAGTTACCGGCAAAGCAATTATTAAAAATTTAAAAAATTGGAAGCTTTAACGAATCCAAATTCGATTAAATTACGATAGCTAAAAAAAATACCAAAAAATTACCAAAAAGGCGTTAAGCCGGGGTTTAAAGAACCGGGGGGTTAAAAAGGGCTAACGGGCTAATTAAAACCGAAAAACCCGAAGCAAGCATTTAACGGGAACCCAATTTTTTACCGCGGCGGTTATATTAAACGATATTTGCAATTACCGGTTAAATTTAAAAATTTAAAAAAAGCGGTTAAATACTAATTATTTACAATTACGGTTATCGAAATTTTTGAAATGGTTATTAAATGCATAAAAAGGAAAGGAAAAAGGTTTGCGGTTTTAAACGGAAAAAAAGCCTTTTATATGCCGGTACGAATTTACTTTTCCAAATGCTATAAAGCTTTATAACCGGTTTTTTTAAGCGTTGCCGGGCATTGGAGCGGTTTAGCGGGATACCGTTAATTACTGGTTACTTACGGAACACCCCCGTGCGGCGTACGCGGTTTGGGACAAGCCGTATCGAAAAAGGGCAATATGTTAAAAATACAGGCAAAACCGCTTTGCAAAAAGCGGAAAGCGTTAAATGTACGGGCAAAACCGTTTGGCAAAAAAAAAAAAGTATTGGTATAATTGGCCCGGTACGGACTTTTTCGGTAACGTACCAGCAAAATGCCGGTATTGCGGCCAAAGCATAATGGTTGTTAAAAGCACGGGCAAAACCGCCCGGCAAAAAGCGGGGGGCGTTAAAAAAAAAGGCGAAACCGCCCGGCAAAAAAGGAAAAAAGGGGCGCTAGCAGCCAGCCGGGCACGAACCTTTCCGGGGACATGCCGGCGAATTACCGGTATCGCGGTTAAAGCATAATAGCAAAGCTAAAAAATAAAGTAAAGCTTAAATTGTATAAAGGCGCATAAAGCGCGAAAAATTTAAAAAACCAACTTTACGTATTTAAAAAGGCACGAAAAAGGGGGAAGTTAAAAAAGGAACAATTTTTATTGGCAATAGCATTTTTGGTAAAAAATTTACGGAAGTTTAACAAAAAAATACCGTATCCAGCCCGTAACCCGGTAACCACCCGCTTTTGCACCAATTAACCTTTAACATATTGTTTTTTTTTTACACCTTTTTTATTTAAGGAGCAAGCCCGGATAATTACCGGAAAGGATCGAGCAAATTTAAAAAAGGCATTTGCGATTTTGCACCGTTTATAATAACGCTTAACGTTACGTTAAGCACGTTGGAAAAAGCCGTTAAATTACCGGAATAAAATACCAAAAAAGCCCCGCAAATTTCCAACGATATTAAAAACCTTTCCGTAAAAAAGCTGCAAAAAATAAACAACGCGCTAAAGGTTTAAAGCAAACGCGCCCGTTTAATTTAAAAAATCCAAAACAAAAGGTCGAAACATGCGCATAAAAATTTAAACGAAAATAAAAAAAATACTTTTAAGCAACGGAAAGGTTTTACGTAAAGCAAAGTTATTTTTAAACCTTTTATGCTTAAAAAATTGGCAATTTAGCAAAATATTGCTTATTATATTAACAATTATAAATTTATTTTCGAAAGCAAAAAGGAACGTTACGATAAAAACCGTATAAAGGTTTAAATAATTTTTAACATTTTCGATTATTATTAACGGGCGTAATGGACAAAATATAAATAAATGCATTATTTAAATACCGGGGTATTGCTTATTTAAGCCAATTTTTTGCAATGGCTTTAAGCAAAATCGAAAAACCCCGATTCGCAAATGTAGCTAACAATTAAAAAGCTTGCGGGAAATATTGCTATTAAACAAAAAAATTATAAATTGTTTAAAGCGTTCCGGATTTATTAAAATTTAATAAAGGATAACCTTTTCGAATTAGCACCCGAATGGATAAAAACGATATTGCTTTTTAACCGGTTTCGCCCCGAAATCCAAAAACGGGTAATATTTAAAAGCTTTTTTTATACTATGGAAAAATTGCAAGCCAAAGCTTTTAAAGCAAAAATAATATCGAAACCGTACAAAAGGATGCCGGGGGATACCGGTGCTTTAACCGTTGAAAAGCCGGTTAATTGCTTTAAATACGGGCAATTAAGCTATATCGCTGCAACATGCAAAATACGAACGAATAACCCGAAAACCCCGTCGGCTTTAGCAATTATATAAAAGGCGAAAAAAAAAGCTTAAAGTACGGTGTTACGGGTGTGGGAAATTGGGCCATATCCGGCCAGCGTGCTTTAAAAAAAGCAAAATATCGCTACCCAATTCGATATCGTTATCCGGCCGTTTAAGCACCGGGGCTTAAAAATGCGCCCCGGCGGCTAAAACGCGCTGGAAAACCGAAATGTATTTACAAATTAACGGTTGCCGGGTAAAGTTAAAAGCGCTGGTTAATAATAGGAATAACGCTAATTTGCTGCATAACCGTTTTTTAATAAAAGCAAAAAAATACCGGTGCTAAACGGGGGCCATTTAGCGTAATTCGATATTAAAAAACGCGTGCTTACGCTAAAGGTAAAAAAATACAAAATTTGGGTAACGGATAGCTAAGGAATAACCCGAAAGTTAATGGTATTTTACGTAATAATGTTTTGGGCCGGGTATAACATTACGTTAAGCATGCTTTAACTTTAGCAAAAAAACATTAAAATCCAATTTGGAAATATAAAGTAAAGGTTTCCGGTAACCACCAAAAAAGTTAAAATAATTTCGTTGGAAATAGTTAAAAAATTGGTTTAATTGGAATAAGCAATAACCGTGCTAACGGTTGTACGCCCGGAAACCCCGGAAAACCCTAGGGAAAAGCTAGGAATTTTTCCGGAATAAATTAAAAAAATGGTTGCAAAACATGCGCAGCTTTATAAATTAAACCCTTTGCTAAAATATACAAAGTAAAATTACGCAATTAAATTGAAAAAAAAACGATGCCGCTTTACGAAAGCATTTATCCCTTATTCGAAAAGGAATTAAAAAAATTTTAAAAGTATTTCGATAAAGCAATAACGAAAGGTTAAATCCGGCATTTAACCAATCCCGCTAACGCCGAAATCCTATTCGTTTTAAAAAAGGACGGAAAGCTTTGCTTTTGTATTAATTATTGGGGTTTTAATAAAATTACCAGGAAAAACCGGTTAACATTTTTATTAATTTACAAAATATTTAACCGGGTATTTAAAAACTAGTACTTTACCAAATTGGATTTAAAAAACGCTTATTACAAAATACAAATTTAATAAGGAAATAAATAAAAAATTGCTTTCCGTTGCAAATATGGACATTACAAATACTTAATAATGCTATTCGGCTTAGCCAATGCACCGGCAACGTTTTAAAGCTTTATTAATATAGCATTTAAGGAATTAATTAATAGCATTTGCATTATATATTTAAACGATATCCTTATTTTTTCCAAAATACGGGAAAAGCACCGTAAAGCAATAAAAACGGTGCTAAAACGATTTAAAAAGTACAAGCTTTACGTTAGCCCGGCCAAATGCAAGTTCGAAACGAATAGCATCAACTTTTTAAATTTTAAAATAACTAAATTCGGGGTTAAAATCCTGCCGAATAAAATCGTTACAATTTAAAAATGGAGGATACCAAAAAGCATTAAAAACGTGCAAATGTTTTTGGGCTTTACGGGTTATTACCGGAAATTTGTAAAAAATTACGCGAAAATTACCGCGCTTTTAACGGATTTTTTTAAAAAAAATACGGCGTTTTACTTAAAAAGCATTGCGAAAAAGGCTTTTTGCAAGCTAAAGTTATTATTTATACAAATTTCGGTGCTAATACATTTTAACTTATCGAAACCGCTGTGCGTAAGGACCAATGCTTCGGCCTTTGCGATAAAAGCAGTACTAATGCAATTGCAAAACGGCCGTTAGCACCCGGTAACTTATTTGTTAAAAAAGCTGCGGCAAAAGGAGCTGCGTTACGCAATCCCCGATTTAAAGCTATTAGCAATCGTAAAAGCTTTCGAAAAATAGCGGCATTATTTAGCTTATTTACAAAAAATTGTTAAAATAATTACCAACCATTTAAACTATACCCATATTTTAATAAAAAAAAGTAATAAAGCGTTAAACAAAATGGCTTAAAAATTTAGCAAAGTACGATTTTACAATTAAATGGAAGCTAAAATACCGGAACTTTGCAAATAGCTTGTTAAAACGTTTTTAAAATATGCCCGTAAACGGGAAGGCCAATATAGCAAGGGAAAAATTCCAAAGCAATTTGTTAGCCAAATTCCGAAAAGCAACTTACGTAAAAATAACCATTATTAAAAAGGATATTAAAACGATATTAAAGCGCATTTTTAAAATATAAATAAAAAACGATTTCGTTTAAAGCGGCATTTAAAAAAACAAACCCAACGTTTAAAAAATTAGCAACGGTTTATTTAAGCACAAAAAAAAAGTTTAAATTCCGAATTTAGCGCCGTTGCAACGGGCAATGCTTTAAAAACAATACAATAGCCCAACGGGGGGTTACAAAAGCATAACCAAAATTTTAAAAAAGTTTAAACGGTAATTTAAATGGCCGGGTATAGCTAAAAACGTACGTAAATACGTACGGACGTATTAAATATGCTAGCAAATAAAGCCGAAAATACAAGCACTTTACGGGTTGCTAGCATTTTTGCCCGTATTAAACCGCTTAAAACAAAAATTGTTAATAAATTTTATCGGAAAGCTTTTAACGTTAATAAATAAAGCCGGAAAAAAACGCAACGCAATATTGGTAATAATTAACCGGTTTATTAAATATAGCTTTTTTATCCTAACGTTTACAAAATTAATTAATAAAGGATTGGAAAACTTTTTATTTGTATACGTTTGGGAATTATTAAAAATGCCCGAAAGGATTATATCGAACCAAAACAAATTATTTACAAATAAATTTTAAATAACCTTTGCTAAATATTTAAAAATTGCAAAAAAGCTATCGATAATATACCATTTTTAAACTAACGGGCAAACGGAACGAACAAACCAAACAATAAAGCATTATTTTTGGTGTTTTTGCTGCAAAAGGCAAAACGATTAAGCGTTGCTATTGCATTTAGCAACGTAAATGCATAATACAAGCGTGCATTTGGGGTTGCAAAAAAACCCCGGCGTTTTTGTTAATAAAGTTTTACTTACAAAAGCTTTATAACTTTCGGGTGGTTAAAAAAAAACCTTCGGTAACGGTTAAAATTAAAACGGGGGCTTTGGAAACAATTAAAAAGCAAATTAAAAAATTGCTAAAAAAAGCAAATAATACGTACAAAAAATACTATAATAAAAGCAAAACCCCGGTGCTTTTCGGGGTAAACGATTGGGTATTGCTAAATACGGCAAACATTAAAATAAAAAAGCCGTTAAAAAAGTTATTAAATAAATGGTTGGAACCTTTTTAAATTTTAAAAATGGTTAGGTTAGCCGGGCTAGCGTTTCGGTTAAAACTTTTTGTAAATTACCGGATACATAACGTATTCCCGGCGAATTTATTGCAAGCGTTTAAAAAAAAAACCCGGCAAAAAGCCAAAA